CGCTTCGTCCGCTCCGACCCTTTGGAACGAGCTACCCCCAGAAATCTGGACCACACCCACTCTCATGGCCTTCTGTAAAGCTCTTAAGACCTGGCTATTCCGGCAGGCCCCGGGCTGTTTAACTCACGATTGAGTTCCAGCCCCGATTAGATTGGGTGTATGTTGTGGTCTTTTAAATCAATGTTTCTGTGTTTTTTAACTTCTATTTTAAATGTATTGTTGTAAGCCGCCCGGAGTCCTTCGGGATTGGGCGGCCTATAAATTTATTAAACATTAACACAAACATTAACATATAATTTATTCAGCTTTCATCAGGTCCATGCAAAATGCTTAGTTGGCTTTAGATTAGTTTAGTGTAAGGTTGTCTTGATTTATATTCATAAGGTGGGAGGAAAAGGCATAAGGATCTTGAAGATATGTGCATTTGATACACTATCAAGACCTTTAAATATGGTTTCAACAGAAGATGGGAGATGAGTACCACCTCTCTCTTACCTGACCTTAAGGATAACTAAATGGAACAACTCATTAAGCCACTGACTGTTTCGATGTATGAAATGTAGACTGAATGAACCAATGATAATACTTGGGTACATTGCAACATATATTAAATGCATCCTTTAAAAATAGGGAAAGAAAATCAATCATGTAAATTGATAAATGGATAATAGATATCTAATTTGGAAATCCCACGAGACAATGAGTCTAACTTTAAAAAATAGGAGGAGCACATTTAAAGTCAAGCATCATATTAATTTCCCATGAAAAGTGAAAGGCAACATACAACATTCATCATATTAATTTTCCATGAAAAGTGAAAGGCAACTTACAACATTCATAAAGGCTTCTGAATCCGTAGCTCTCTTTGTTCTTATTAGTTTTGAGTAGGCAAATCCGTGAATCAGGCATATTGTAATTATTAATGCCTGCATCCTTTGCCTGTTTAACAAAAGACATAGATTTCTTAATGACTGCTACGTATAACATTACGACACAATTGTGCTTGTTAAAAAGCTGTATGACCACAAACCATTCTAATGGCTACTGTTCAATGTATTAAATAAAAGTCCCTTGCAGCTTCTTGCTAAAATGATTGTTTTATATACTCCAAAAAACTTGCTTCCTTAATTTTCACAGAAACTAAAGAATGCAGTCAAACGGATATCTATACAAGACAACAGAACTTTTGATTCAGTTTAGTTTTATAAGAAGGATAACTGTACATAAAACAAAAAATATTTCGGCTACTCAGAGGAAAACCAGAAACAATGAAATATTGCCTAACTATCTGCCTCCACTTCTGTTTGAAAATACTTTTTCTCTTTTCTAAAAACAACTACAAATGAGAATCTATATCCATTCAGTTCAGTCATATGAGTGAACCTATAGGATGAACTTCTAATTAAAGGAGAATAAGAATAAAAGAATAAGAGTAATAATAAGAACTGAAGCATGTCTTGCAGATCAATAAACACACTGAAATGTCAGAACAGTGTCATATATATTCAAGTCATTTTGCTCTAATACTAATAATTTATTAAACTTGCATGCTCGATTTATTTTGAATAACTCTGGAAAAATTGTAATAGATTTATCTATGTGATCTGCTAATTAAAGCTCCTTCGCCGTATTCTTTTCTCTCATTATCTGAAGAATAACTAAAAAAAAACAAAAAACCATCAGATAAACTGTGTAATTCCTTTTATGGCTGGTGGTAGCCCTTTCATCTTTAAAATTCTAACAAAGCCACAGATAACTTCAAGAGGAAAAAAACAGAAATAAAGTAGTTATCTTATGCTTCTCTATCAACATTCCTTTTTCCTGTAGTACGAGATATGTTTGTTATACTTACTGGTTTTAATAGTCACTTGTTCCTCCAAAAGTTTCAGATGTTCAGATGGGGATTCTTGACACAATATTTATACCAGAAATGTGAGATAAAGGTGATAGAGAAGTTGCGACATTTAACCCTTCCTTGGAAAGCGTGTAGTGGAAACATCTATTTCCATCTCTTCCCCTTCTCCTTTTAGCTGTTTTTTTCAATTTAGTAATATTGAAAGGAATTCGTTGAAGACCAGATCTTGCTTACATTTTTAAGGACTGTTGTAGTGACTGTTCAAGCGACTTCAGAGAGAATTGAAGAGAAGGGATTTCAAATGCATTCATTTTTTCATTTTTTCATTTTATTAGGGTTTATAGGCCGCCCTTTTCCCTGAGGGGACTCAGGGCGGCTTACAATCACCAGGNGGGGGTGGTGGGGGTCCACAGAGAAGGCCCTCCTCCGGGTGGTAGACAATCGGCATTGGCCGGTAGATGGAATTCGGAGGAGGCCTAATCTGTGGTATCTAATAGGTCTGTTGGAGGTAATTGGTAATTCTCTTTCCACTATGTATTTAAAATGCATATGTGTGTGTGCGTGTGTGTGTTGGTGTATGTATGTAGCAGATATATATGTATGTTGTGTATGGGTATGGGTAGATATATAGTTTCTTTTGAGAGCAGGCCAACAGAATTTCATTTTTAATGTGGGCCAGTGTGCTCACAATAAAAATTGACAATAAAGTCTATATCTTATCTCTCTTTTTTCATTAATCTGAATTCAGAATGGCAACCAAACTGCTTGATTGCTTGCATTAGTTGCTGTGTAAAGCCTTTTTTGTAATTTAATTGCCTTTTTGTCTAAGTCCCAACCTTCTCCGTAGTTGGTTCTTTTCTTCCAATAGATTTACATAATTTACTGTTTCCTTAATGTTTTTTGCCATATGCTCCTCACTTAACTTTCTCTTTCTCTACCTCCTTTTCTTTTAAAAATTTCTTCCAGACTAATGGCTATCATTAGAAAGGGCGATGAAAAAAACTCCTTGAAATATTGTACTGGATATTGCAGAATGTACATTAACATCAAAATGATTGTCTGATGGGACTTTGCTGCACTAATGCCTTTATTATCTTTCTCATGCTCTTGACAAGTAAAATACAAGCTGTAGAACCTTTCCTTCAAAAAGAACACAAACAAATGATGCACAATTCTGCCCAATTCTGCTCAAAGAGATAGAACTCTCTTCTGATGACAAAGTTAATCAAAGGTTTACAGTGATTTGCTATATATGCAGCCAGATGATTATCTCTGATTATGCCTTGCTAGATTTACCAGTTATCACCGACTTACACCTAAAGTTAGAAGGAAATGAACAACTTTCCTGCTTCTCAATTTTTTAAAATATTTTCCAATTAGTATTATCCCTTTGATTCAACCAGAATGTCTGTCTTAATATAATATCTATTGTTGGTTAACAAGCTGTCTAATCTGTTCAAAGAGCATACATTTCTAACCACATTATTTTACTACTAAATCATTGGGAGTTTAAATGTTATTACCAGTATCTCTTAATGGAACTGCTGATTCTTAACGATGGCACCAAGAACATGGAATAGCCTTCACTTACATTGGACCCCATAAGTCTTCTAGAAAATGGGGAGGTCTGAGCTACTCCAAAGGCATATGGTGGCTGATGGTCATCTTGTATGGAGGTTGCTCCTATAATCTCTAACACTAATGGAAATTATTTGTGAATTCCTCTGGGATTATGTCTAATGAGTGCCTTATTCATTTACTGTAATATATTTGGGACATATTTTTATTGTTTACTAGGGAAGTTTTATGGATGTTTTATTCTTAATATGACTACTGCAGGCATGCTCTTTTATGCTTTTGGATTTTCAGTGAATAGCTTGCCATGGGTGTTTTAATTGTTGATTTATATAAATCTGCAGAGAGTCTATTATGGATTATATGTCATGCAAATTAAATAAACGGCTATATGAACAGTTAAATGTGTAGAGAGATAGATGACAAAAAATAAGGCTGTGTTTTCTACAGGGGAAAAAAGTGCAGTCATGTTGATTAAAGAACAATATAGCACATGGCAGGAAATCACTGAAAATATGGGCATGATCAACACCACCAAGAAACCTTGAAACATGAATAGAAATGAACAGTAATAGAAAGAAGGTAGAACAGTGTCACAAAGTAGCACCCAATCAGGTAGCATACCAATAGTTTTTAAACTGTAAGAAAATCAAATGGCAGGAACTTCAACAGTATTATTATTATACTGATCCTTTTACAATGGGGTAATTTTTAAAATGCCATTAAACATATGAAATCTAGCAAAATTGATGCCCTTAATGACTAAAGGTTTTTGTCACTAATTATTTGTTCTCCTTAATGAATAAAATATTTTGAACTGGATAGCCACAAATTTCTCAGCAATTTGCCAGTATAAAAAGACAGATCCAATAGAGAGAGAGAGTTGGTTTGATCTAGTGGTTAAGGCATCAGACTACAATTGAGACTGGGAATTCTAGTCCAGTCTTAGCCATGAAAGCTAGCTGACTGATCTTGGCTGTCACTCTCTCTCTCAGCCCAACCTGCCTCACAGCTGCTAGGCTGCCAATCAATACAGACCAAAGAAAAGTAAGGCTTGGTAATGTCACTGTTGTGCCATAATTTCTCCACTTGTTGATAATTGTCTTCACTGTGTTCTATGGTATATCCAATGCCTTGGAAAAAGGTACTTTTACTTTTTTGACCACCAGGGTGTGTACTGGATAATTTGCATTTATGAGATGTACATCAATA